CGATATCACCTACTACAAGCGTAAGCCAACTGAGGACGATAATTCTGTGATCAAGGCATATGATCATCCAAAGAACTTCTTCAAGGTGCAAATTCAGTTCATTAAAAACAAGAAGCCACGTCCCACCAAGCTGTCTGACCTTCTCAATACGGTTCCATTCCACAAATTTGCAAATACTGTCTGCAAATGGGGACATGATCCAAATGATATGGAGACAAATCCACTTCTGGCAAAGGATCTTCACGAAGAAATTACCGAATCTGACTTGCATCCAGTATTAGTCAATTACCTGAAGCGTATCATTTGCTTTAATCATCCTGAGAGGTACCAGTGGTTGATGGAGTATACCGGTAGCCTTTGTCACTATACCGACAGCAAGACGAAGGTTATGCTCGTGTTGTATTCAATGGAAAAGCAGATTGGCAAGTCGAACTTCTTCAAGCTCCTTACGAGTCTTCTTGGAACGGCAAATACTCACATGACTCAGCATCTTACCAATGTCTTCGGAGAGCGTGGATCGCCACGACTTCGAAAAAATTGCGCTGGTTTGAGGAAATTGCTGGTGATAAGCGCTCGTCTCGTAATTGTCTTAAGCGAATGAAGTCTGCAATCACCGATTCCGTGCAATCTAGTCGAAAGATCTACCTCGAAGAAGTACATGGCAACATCACTGAATTCATTGGTGCTTCCATTAACTTGATTGGCATCGTCGAAGACAAGATGACAATTTACGATGTAAATCCAGCGGAACAGCACAATAAGGTCTATTATGGCAAGCTGATTGATGATGTGATCAAGTATGAGAATGAGATGAACAAATTCTACACATATTTGAAGCAGTTTGCCAACCCCAAGCCAAAATCCTTTTTCCGAACGCCGATCTATGATTTAATGACAACCGCTAGCAACGAGGGCATTGTCAACTATGTCAATGAACTTAAGGAATCGGGCATAAATGGAATCGTACACACTGAATCGCAAGGCCTATATCGCGTGGAGAGAGATGTTATGTATCAGCATTCTCAAAGGTGGTGTGAGACAGCTGGTGAAGTCCCTGATAAGCGATCGAAATTTTGTGAGAAGATCTCGAAGTTGGACAAGCGTATCACATTCAAGTGATACAAGGAAAATGGAGCTACTCCATATGGGTTCTTCTTTCCAAATGATTTCAACCCATTCTGAAGCTTCCTCCCTTCATGCGGCGAACGCGACGTGGATCAGCCATATCAACTCCAGTCACTTGTTGAATTCCCTTTCGGATCTCTTGACTGAATCCACCAGTCTCACGAGCAGTGATATCATTACAGAGCCAGCAATTGGCTTCCAATTATTTTTTAAGAAAGTCCATGCATTCTTTCCAACAGACTTGATTCCTTCCCAAAGGTTTCTCCAAAAGCCACTTCCATCTGGTCCCGACTGATGCGTGCGTAATACTTCACCTTGAGTCATATGAAGGGTAGTTCCTTTGCCAGATTCATATGCTTTCACAAGCTTCTTGTAAGTCTCGGGCCCAAAATAGCGAGAATGACCAGCATTAAGCTGTGCATGCGTTAATCGAACAGCTTTTCCATGCAAAACCTTTAGTAGGAGAGAAAGAAGATATAGAGAGACAGTGTAGCGTTTTTTTGTGGAACTTGGGAACTCGGTGCATGGTGTATAAAACCTACCATTATCACGTCGGTTCGGCGACATGGAACCGGTTCAGATCAGGTTTAGGAACCTTACGCACTACTGAATGTTAATAACTACAATCATTCTGGTGGTCCGTGACCCGAAGAATTCACAATAGGATTACGTTAACTCGTGCGATATTTCTATCAGCGTACGCTAGTGGACGGACTTCATTGATTATGTTACATCGTCCGCTCAACCTGTGCATAGAATGGCACCCTTAAACCCCTTAAAGACCATGTAGCATTGAGTATGGTCACGAATGTGTCAACAATGCTTGAGTGCTCAGAAAGCCTTCAATTTCGTGCGCAATAGACGGATCGATTGGATTGATACTCAAGGTACTCTTGTTATTCTGTAAGAGCCGAACTTTAGTGCCACACTTGACTATCGTAGCACCGTCTGTGGATCAGTTATTAACATGAACTTTGCCTCATATCGACCAAGAGTAATCCATCAAAATTGTTTATTATAAAAATATCTATTGTAGTTCAGCTGTTATACTATCTTTGTTTTGAGCTAATCTAACATACATTACAATCGATCTAAAACCGCATTTATTATCTGCTACAGTAGAGCCTGTCTGAATTAAACCTGTTTAATACAAAACCCTTTTCAAACTGAACAAAAGATATGGACCCATTTCGGGCACCATACCTAAATTGATAAGTATGTTACCCTTTTGTATTTAAACCTTCTCTAAATTAAACACTGTCCCCCAGTCCCATCATGTTTAATTTAGACAGGTTTTACTGTAGTGATCTTTGCAATCATGCACTACATGTAATACATGGTAATGTACCATGTAGTAACGCTAAAGATTGTCTTAAATATTATTCTTACAAACTGGATCTTCCAAAATGCAAAAGCCGCAATTAAATCTGTTTGCTGCTGTAGAGGGGCGAGTTAGGCTCTCTTCCCTACCGGAATCAGTTATACTACATCTCTTTTGCAAAAAAATCCATTAGTCTTGCTTATGTTGAGATAATTCGATGCGGCGTCTGGTTCGCGTCTGTCTGTTCGTCGTCATTTTTCTCGTCCTAACGCAAACACAGCCACGCTT